CTATTTACTCAGCTTTATTGTTGGGTTAATGTTATGAAGACTAAACTTATAAACTAAATGATGTGTTGTCAATAATTAATACTTAAGTAATAATCGAATCATCAACTTCGATGTCAGTTAGTTTACAAAATTTTATCTACATATTTAATCTCCCTAACTTTACCCTTATTGTTTTTAGAATTTTGAATCATTCTTAAAAATAAAAACTTTATATAATCCATGTATCGTTGTTTAATTGGGTTCATGATCTATATGTGCTATATCAACACACTAACAGATTATTTGATGGTTTTCTAATAGAAGGACTGAAATGATTTGCAGCACTCATATTGAATTTCAAGGATTATCTTGATAGGATTGGTCAATTTTAGGGACTATTTGTGATAAAACCCTTATCTTTATAAGATTTTCTTATAATTGAGAGATTTCTGGTTTACTTGAAGAGTAATGCTAGGGAGACCAAATCCCTTAAACCAAATGAGGTGGCTGATAAGTTGGCATAGCCATGTCACTAACCCAACTTTTAAAAACTCTATTACTATTAAAATGTATAATGATAATTATCCATTTGCATGTTTAACTGTAGGGGACTTTTCTTCCTTTCTTTCTTCTTTCCCAACTGCTCTCCCTTCTTTCTCTCCGCTCTTTCCTTCCTCTAGTCCACCAACGTGACTGCCAGCGATGGTAAGATCATATCATCTTTCTTCTTCTTTTTCAAGTATAACCGCTGTTTTTCAAATGAAAGTGTCTTGAAACTGTTTCAATGGTTTAATTGCTTTAATATGGACATTGGAGAATCAGCAACCCCACAAATAACAACAAAATAGATGATCGAGTTAATTTTCTAATTGTAACTTAATGAAGTTGTGTAAAAAGTTTAAAGGCAGGTAATTTTCTTATTGTTACTGATAACACACTTAACTAACGATTAACCGTTTTAATTGATTTAGGAAGTTTAGAGTCTTCAGATATTGGTCTAGAAGACTTTTCATGTTTGCTATAGGTAAAGACACGTCTCTTTTATTTTGTAGTGGACTGAAAAGAACCATAACATAGTCATGTCTTGTATTTTGTAGTGCCGATCTATCTCATTACGGAGTGAAAAGAATATGGTGGTGCTATTTGTGACTAGGCTATCTATGTTGGTCTTTATGCTGAAAGAAACATTTTCTTTGTAACTTATTATGTATTACTGAAGGAATAAATGGCCAAATTGTATTTATTGAGCAATTTAGTAATTGTTTGTAATTGTGTGTAACCTATATTCATTTAGCAATTTGGTAATTCAGCAATTTGGCAATTGTTCGTGATTGTGTAGGAATGAGTCATTTGGATGAATTTCTTTTAAGTACCTAAAACTGATTAATGTGAGACATTGGATGACTTGTATGTCCTATTTGAGTATTGTGTACAATTATTAGCAAGAATAATTAGTTTTAACAAAGAAAAAATCAATCACATGCAAGACATTCATGTCATACCTTCATAACAATGTTGTCTTCTGCTTCAGATATATCTACTTTAGAATTGGGTACACGAATTTTATGCAAGTTTCATCAAATTCTATTGGTTGCAAATCCTACAAAAGCATGCAGGAAAAATTCAACGAAATAGATTATTAATTCAACTATACAAGTTAAAAAGAAAAAAATTATAGAAAATTTGCTTGCATACCTTCACTTTCTTCCTTCTTCGATTATTGTTTCCACGAGTTTTCTTTTGCTTTTCACTCTTCACTCTTCTTTCTTCTTCTTACTCCTTGTTTTCTTCATAACTGTTAACTCCAACTGAGATATCCTCATTTTAAATGGTGGCAACCTTTACTTCGAACTGCTTTTGGAGTAAGAATGCATTGACTTGGATTTGGAATCGAAACAATATAATTCTCAATGTTCCTATCAATAGATGACTCTGGAGTTGGTTTATCAGTACACGTACAAACAGCACCATGTTTAAGCGTTTCTCATTTAAAGTTGTGCATCCAAACCATCACAGTCTTGCACTTATCATCAGAATTATACACTACATCCTTAATCACGTTAAAAGTCTTTTGCATCTTATGATATCGTTGTGCTTCAAGTGTAGTGTTCCAATCATCACAACCAATTTGAACCCTTGTGTGACATCTCTTTACATCCTTCATCTTCGCATGATATATTTTTCTGAAATCAAGTCAATGTCATGGCAAAGCAAAACATATATTGCATGCCGAAATAGTATGCCTCTAAACTCAAACCTATGACAATTGCACCTAACCTCATATTTGTTAAGTCAAACCTTGAAATAAACTCTTTTTCTTTTTTTCTTTTTTTTTTCTTTTTCTTTTTAATCCTCATTATGTGCCACAAACACCAATGATGTCTAGTACATGGGAAAACAATTGAAATAAATTTTTGCATTGCTTTATCTTGATCAGTAATTATTCTACAAGGAGCCTTACCAGGTCTACATGCAAGCTAGAACTTAAACAACTACACAAAAGCATCGACATCTTCACTTGAAGTCAGCCCACATCCAAGTAGGATCGATTGCCCATGATGATTCACCCCCACAAATGGAGCAAATGACATGTCATACTTATTCGTTAAGTATGTTGTGCCAAATGTAACATCTCCAAATTCTTCGTGTGCCACTCTACTCCTTGCATTTGCCCAAAAGACATTTCTTAACTCACATTCTTCATCTAAATCAATAGCATGGAAAAATTTTGAATTTTGAGCTTGCATCTTTAGAAAATACGTTTGAATTGCGGTACATTGCTTTCCCCGAGACGCAATCGTTTACTCTTATTCCGGTTCTATCATTTAACTCAATCCTTCCTCTCATATCAGAACTTATTGTCCGGTGACATCGTAAAAAATGACCCTTTTTTGCATTCATATCATGGTTGTGATCAAGATTGATAGAGTTGGTCCCCCACTTTCCATCCTCACATATGCCTGCAATTACTTTAGCTTTGCAGTCACTTTTCGTAGTAGGATGTGGCTTTAGCACATTACCACATAAAATAGTCACATATTTAAGTTCTTTGTCGTCTCCCTTTGTTAATGATCTGATCTTCACTAGAAACCTTAGTTGCTTCCCATATTCTTTGTAACATGCAACTAACTCATTAAGTTGTCAAAAACCATCCCAACTTCGGGATATTGCACACCAGCTCTTTTCTCCAATTCGGTCTCATTGGTTACTACTTCATCGTCACATTTTTCTTCTAGACCAATATTTGAAGACTCTAAACTTTCTAAATCATTTCAAACAAGCGATCGTTAGCTATGTGTGTTATTAGTGACAATAAGAAATTGACCTAACTTTAAACTTTTACACAACTTTTAACTTGATCATCCATTTCGTTGTTATTTGTGGGATTCCTTGATTCTCCAATGTCCATATTAAAGCACCTGAACCATTGAAGTAGTTTAGACAGATTCATTTGAAAAATAGGGGTTATATTTGTAAAAGAAGAAGAAGGATGATATGATCTTATCGTCGTTGGCAGTCACGTCGGTGTACTAGAAGGACGAGGGAGCAAAGAGAAAGGAGGGAGAACAGTCGGGAGAGTAGAGAGATGAGGAAGAAGAAGAGTCCCACATGGTTAAACATGCAAATGGATAATTATCATTATTTTTTTCAATAAGTAATTAGGAGTTTTTAAAATCTGGGTTAGTGACATGGTTATGCCAACTTATCAGCCATCTCATTTGGTTTAGGATTTGACTTAAAGGATTTGCTTTTCCTAGCATTATCTTTAGTTAAATTTTACTGTCTAGTGATAAGGATCAAGTCATAAATTGCAACCTAAACATTTGCTCCAATACAAGGGCATTGTAGGAAAGAGGAAACAAAAACCCAAAAGATAATAGTAGTAATAAATTTGAGGTGGAATACGAATACACAGCCATAAATATATGATCAAAGTACTACAATAAAATATTTATAGGCAAGTGGCGGAGTTTCTTTCTAAATCATTTCAAACAAGCGATCGTTAGCTATGTGTGTTATTAGTGACAATAAGAAATTGACCTAACTTTAAACTTTTACACAACTTTTAACTTGATATCCATTTCGTTGTTATTTGTGGGATTCCTTGATTCTCCAATGTCCATATTAAAGCACCTGAACCATTGAAGTAGTTTAGACAGATTCATTTGAAAAATAGGGGTTATATTTGTAAAAGAAGAAGAAGGATGATATGATCTTATCGTCGTTGGCAGTCACGTCGGTGTACTAGAAGGACGAGGGAGCAGAGAGAAAGGAGGGAGAACAGTCGGAAGAGTAGAGAGATGAGGAAGAAGAAGAGTCCCACATGGTTAAACATGCAAATGGATAATTATCATTATTTTTTTCAATAAGTAATTAAGAGTTTTTAAAATCTGGGTTAGTGACATGGTTATGCCAACTTATCAGCCATCTTATTTGGTTTAGGATTTGACTTAAAGGATTTGCTTTTCCTAGCATTATCTTTAGTTAAATTTTACTGTCTAGTAATAAGGATCAAGTCATAAATTGCAACCTAAACATTTGCTCCAATACAAGGGCATTGTAGGAAAGAGGAAACAAAAACCCAAAAGATAATAGTAGTAATAAATATGAGGTGGAATACGAATACACAGCCATAAATATATTTATGATCAAAGTACTACAATAAAATATTTATAGGCAAGTGGCGGAGTTTCTTTCCTGATCCAGTTTATGCACATGCCAATATCATGTAATGGGGTTGCCTATTAGTTAAGTTTGCTGTTTTTATTGGTGATGAAATTGTATGGTTAGAGAATCCTTATGATCTCATTCAGGACCTCGTCAACAAGGATTTAATGTAGTTCTTTTGAATTCAATAAAATATCGAGCTTTCGTAAAAAAAAAAAAACAAAAATTTAATTTTACACCAGACATTTATCTAAAGTTTAAAATGTTTAAAGAATTAGAATTACATTTTCTATTTTTATTAAACCCCTATCTCTCTCTCTGTGGTTCGAAGCTTCGATCATCCCATCGTTACATATCAATCTATCAACACCTCCATCCCTTTTTCCATTTCCCCAGACGCATTCCAAACCCTCAACTCCTCAATCCTCTCCGGTTACCGATGGATCCGCTTCTTCCCATTGCGGCGCTCTCGATTATCATCGGCGCTGTCATCGCCCTTGCCTTCTTCGGAAGCTACTTCCGAAAACGGAGCTCCGAAATGCAGTCCATTTCCAAGCCGGAACTCCAGTCGGACCAAAAAAAGCACCAATCAAAGCCTCACCAGACTAAGAAGTCTCACGCCAGACCACACTCTCACGCCTCAGACAAGGTAACACGGAAACAAATCCTTTCTTTCTGGAAGTATCCGTGTTGAATTTTGTGTTTGGATGCCGAGAAAATGTGTGATTTTCCGTATGCTTGAGTTGCATGGTACTCATTCGACCTCATTGCATAGGGAATGCTTGAATTTGTAATGCTTTAGGTTCAGAGTTAATGAGTTTGATTTTGATATTGATTTATTAGATCATGGAATGTAGGATCAAAACAAGAAACATCATCCGTTGGATGTGAATACTTTGAAAGGCCATGGAGATGCGGTCACTGACCTATGTTTCTCCTCCGACGGGCGGAGTTTGGCAACAGGTATGCTATAATTCACTTTTATTCCGAGCTTAATGCGACATATATTTTTTTCTTTAGAGGAGCAATTAGAATGGAATCCAGACTTCAATATTAGATACTTGATTGGCATTTGTTCGATGTGTTACAATCGCGTATGGTCTGCTTTTTGGATGATTTAGAATCGTGTATAATGTGGCCGATGATTTTGATTTTGACATGTTTGATGTTTATATTTCAATTGCTCATGCTTTCTTACTCTTACAAACAGCTTGTGCGGATGGAGTGCTTAGGGTATTCAAGTTGGATGACGCTTCGAGTAAAAGTTTCAAGTATGAATTTCAAGTACCATTGGTGCATTACCACTTACCAGAAGCGTCAGTTATGCTCATGAGTTAAGCTGCTTTGCATTTCTCAAATTCTGTAACAATTTGAACAGGTTTCTGAGAATTAGTTTGCCTCCCGGAGCTGGTCATCCTGTAGCAGTTTCATTTTCGGATGATGGATTGTCAATAGTTGTGGCTTCTCAAAGTCTGACCGGTTCTTCTTTGTACATGTATGGTGGGGTGGAAAAACCCAAACCTTCTGAGGAAGCTAGACAGCAACCCAAGCTTCCTCTGCCTGAGGTCAAGTGGGGCCATCACAAAGTTCATGATAAATTAGGTATTCTCACCCTATCTGGGACCACAGCAAGTTATGGCACTGCTGATGGGAGTACAATTGTTGCTTCATGTTCCGAAGGTATCTTCTTATTGTCTTATCCTGCATTAGAATTTGAGCATACATTTCCATTTAACATTTTCTAACTTCATATTACCTAATGACATATAAATAACTGTATTGAAACAGTAATGTTTTGGGCTTGTAACTTTCTGTACACTATAGGGTCGCATCTATAGTGGTGTAGGATTCTTGTCGGAATTATGATTATGATCTCAATATGAATTCTGGTTCTTTCTCCAGAGTTTCCCTTGATAGAGTGTACATACCTTGTGGTTCTAATTTGTTACGTTACCTATAGGAACTGACATCAAACTTTGGCATGGTACAACCGGCAAGATTTTGGGGCATGTTGACACAAATCAGTTGAAAAACACCATGGCTGCTATATCACCAAATGGGCGTTTCCTTGCTGCAGCAGCGTTTACTGCAGATGTGAAGGTAATTATCTCTAATTTATCCATTGGCCAGGGGATGTGAAAATCCCCCAGCAATATGGCGTATTTAAAGAAGTTCCTTGATTTAAGAGTTTACTTAAATTTCATATTAAGGATTGTGGCATTATGTTCAATTATGGTCTACAGATCCAATTCTTCATTCAATTTCCCTCTTTGGAAAAGTATAAATAAAACATTTACATTGACCACAATGGAAGGGATACACATGCTAATTGCAACATGTAGTCCTATGCGTGAGCATGTGCAAAGGAGTGATTTTGTGCCACATGCAGATCTTTATAAAGTCCATGGGTTAGGTTGATGCGGCCAATTATCCTCGTCATATGTGGGTTAACCAAATAAGTACCATGCAAATTTGAAGTCCATTATCATACTTGTGTCTGGTTCATTAAGTTTCTGGATACCATAATCAATTTCGTTGTTTAATTGGCATGTTAGAGGAACAAGATGCTTTATGGCCTATATTATAGTTGTTTTAACATCGCATATTTTCTTGGCAGGTGTGGGAGATCGTCTATTCAAAGGATGGTTCAGTCAAGGAGGTCACAAAAGCCATGCAACTTAAAGGCCATAAGGTTACTTATACATTCTTATGTACATTGATGTTACATAATATGATTTCATGCGTGTCTTCACGAAGCCTCACTATCACCTCCATTAATTTTTTTTGAAAATTAATTGAGATCAAATTCAAGGTTTAGCCTTGGCCGGAATAAGAAAAAAGAAATTCAATGCTTTGTAGTCTTTATCATCTATTTCTTCAGTGGTGTAAATTTTTATGTTTTCTTTTGAAGATTACAATTATGATGCAAATTGTGGTCTAGGATAAATGCTAGAGTTTATTGTTTTGGCTTTTAGCTCCCAATATGCCTTCCCGCAGTCCCATAAACTGTGCAAGAAAGCTACTTGTGAAGTGCAAATAACAATTTCCTATTTCTTTAATCAATGATATCATTTGAATTCTTTTTAGCTGTAAATTTTTTATTTACTTTTGGGTTTTGTCAGAAATTCTTTTTGCTAACACTTGAATTGTATATGCTATATCTCATCTACATCTGGTTGTTTTCAGAGTGCAGTGACTTGGTTATGCTTTACTCCGAACTCAGAACAAATGATCACAGCGTCCAAAGATGGTTCGATAAGAATTTGGAATATCAATGGTATGTATGACTGGTATTCTGTTCTTTGTATATGTCATCTTTGTCATGTACAGCAGCTAATATTCAAAAACAGCCCCCTCCCTCCAAGCACATACATATACATGCAGCCATGTAATCTTAGTCTAACACGTGTCAACTGTATATAAACACATAATACAGCATGCCATAGCAAGTCAACAACAACAATAACAACAAAGCCTTTTCCCACTAAGTGGGTTGGCTATACGAATCCTAGAACGCCATTGCGCTTGGTTATGTGTCATGTCTTCCGTTAGATCCAAGTACTCTAAATCTTTTCTTAAGAGATTTTTTCCAAAGTCTTCTTAGGTCTTCCGCTACCCCTTCGGCCTTGGACCTCTGTCTCGTAGTCACATCTTCTAACCGGAGCGTCAGTAGGCCTTCGTTGCATATGTCCAAACCATCGTAACGGATTTTCTCTCATCTTTCCTTCAATTTCAGCTACTTCTACTTTACCTCGGATATCCTCATTCCTAATCTTATCCTTTCTTATGTGCCCACACATCCAACGAAGCATCCTCATCTCCGCTATACCCATTTTATGTACGTGTTTATGCTTCGACCAACATTCCGTGCCATACAGCATCGTTGACATTGTCGTTGTATAAAATTTTCCCTTGAGCTTTCGTGGCATACGACGGTCACATAACACGCGGGATGCACTCTTCCACTTCATCCATCCAACTTGTATTCTATGGTTGAGGTCTCCATCTAATTCTCAGTTCTTTTGCAAGAAAGATCCTAGGTACCGAAAACGGTCACTCTTTGGTACTTCTTGGTCTTCGATCCTCACCCCTAACTCATTTGGGCCTCCATTGGCACTGAACTTGCGCTTCATGTATTCTATCTTTGACCGACTTAGGCAAAGACCTTTAGATTCCACACTTCTCTCCAAAGGTTAAGGTTTGCATTTACCCCTTCCTGAGTTTCATCTATCAACACTATATTGTCTGCAAAAAGCATTCACCAAGGAATATCATCTTGAATATGTCCCGTTAACTCATCCATTACCAATGCAAAAAGGTAAGGACTTAAAGATGAGCCTTGATGTAACCCTACAGTTATGGGTAAGCTTTTGGTTTGTCCTTCATGAGTTTTTATGGCAGTCTTTGCTCCATCATACGTATCCTTTATAGCTTGGATATATGCTACTCGTACTCCTTTTTTCTCTAAAATCCTCCAAAGAATGTCTCTTGGGACCCTATCATATGCTTTTTCCAAATCTATAAAGACCATGTGTAAATCCTTTTTCATATCTCTATATGTTTCCATCAATCTTTGTAAGAGATAGATTGCCTTCATGATTGAGCGCCCTGACATGAACCCGAATTGTTTGTCCGAGACCTGTGTTTCTTTCCTCAATCTATGCTCATTGACTCTCTCCCAGAGCTTCATTGTATGACTCATTAGCTTAAAACCTCTATAGTTCATGCAATTTTGTACGTCGCCCTTATTCTTGTAGATAGGCACCAATGTGCTCTTTTGCCACTCATTTGACATCTTCATTTTCAAAATCCTATTGAAAAGGTCTGTGAGCCATGCTATATCTGTCTTTCCCAAGACTTTCCACACTTCAATCAATATATCATCTGGGCCCATTGCTTTTCTATGCTTCCATCTTTTTCAAATACAACAACTTCTTCCTAATTCGGCGGTAAAATGAGTAGTTTCTACACTCTTTTGAGTTACTCAATTCCCCCAAAGAAGTACTCCTTTCATGTCCTTAATTGAAAAGATTACGAAAATAACCTCTCCATCTGTCTTTAATCGCATTCTCTGTAGCAAGAACCTTTCCATTCTCATCCGTGATGCATCTCACTTGGTTTAGGTCCCTTGTCTTCTTTTCCCTTGCTCTAGCTAGTTTATAGATATCAAACTCTCCTTCTTTGGTATCTAGTCGCTTATACATATCGTCAAAAGCCACTAGCTTAGCTTCTCTCATGCTTTCTTCGCCTCCTGATTCACTATTCTATACCTTTCACCGTTTTCATCGGTCCTATCCTTGTATAATGCTTTACAACATTCCTTCTTAGCCTTAACCTTTGTTTGTACCTCCTCATTCCACCACAATGATTCCTTTTGGTGTGGAGCAAAGCCCTTGGACTCTCCTAATACCCCTTTTGCTACTTTTCCGATACAACTAGCCATGGAATCCCACATTTGGCTAGTTTCCCCCTCTCTATCCCACACGCATTGGGTGATTACTTTCTCTTTGAAAATGGCTTGTTTTTCTCCTTTTAGATTCCATCATCTAGTCCTTGGGCACTTCAAGGTCTTGTTCTTTTTTCTCTCTCTTTTGATATGTACATCCATCACCAACAAGCGATGTTGATTAGCCAAGCTCTCTCCCATTATAACTTTGCAATCCTTAGAAGTTATATGATCCCCCTTCCTCATTAGAAGAAAATCTATTTGTGTTTTGGACGACCCACTCTTGTAGGTGATTACATGTTCTTCTCTCTTCTTAAAGAAGGTGTTGGCTAAGAAAAGATCATATGCCATTGCAAAATCCAAGATGGCTTCCCCATCCTCGTTTCTCTCCCCAAAACCATGGCTTCCCCATCCTCGTTTCTCTCCCCAAAGCCATGGCCACCATGAAAACCTCCATAGTGGCCTGTCTCCTTGCCCACGTGTCCATTTAAATCTCCTCCTATAGATAACTTCTCCGTTTGAGCGATTCCTTGCACCAAGTCTCCAAGATCTTCCCAAAATTTCTCCTTCAAACTCGTATCCAACCCTACTTGAGGTGCGTACGCACTAATCACACTAATGAGTTCTTGTCCTATTACAATCTTAATTGCCATAATTCTATCTCCTACCCTCTTGACATCTACAACATCTTGTGTCAATGTCTTGTCCACGATGCTGCCAACACCATTTCTCGTTCTATTTGTGTCCAAATACCAAAGTTTAAAACCTAAGTTTTCTGGATCCCTTGCCTTAAGACCAACTCACTTAGTTTCTTGTAGGCACATAATACTTATCCTTCTCCTCACCATAGCTTCCACTACTTAAATAGATTTTCCCGTTAAGGTTCCCATATTCCACGTTCCTAAATGCATTCTACTCTCTTGAACACTACCCTCCTGTCAGCTTCTTCACCCTCCCCCGTCTAATAAGATCAAAGTACTTCTTTTGCGTGTCCTGTGTAAAGTATGCTTCCAAACAACTTTGATAGTAAGTCAAAAGAAAAAAAAATATTGAGTCATTTTTTGCCCCTGCCTCTTGTCCATATGCTCAAGTCAAGAGAACAGGCATTCGTTCATGTTTCCTAAATATGGTCATTTAATTTTAATTTTACAATATTGTGGAAATTTTATTTCTTCTCATCAGGAGGTGAACCATGCTTTCATTTAGGGTCATAATTCCCTTTCTTGTTTGTTTCTGTTATGTATATACCAAGTTGGAAACGAAATAAATTGTATTTACACCGGTTGTAATTTTCTCTCTCAATAAAAGAATCTGATAACTACCAGTCTACCATTTATGTGAAACTCTGTGCATGTTGTACAAAACAATATATCCTATGCATTGAGGGTCAGTTGTCTCTTATGGTTTTAGGATCGAAACATCTTCTGTTGAATGGAATTATTCATCTGCATGGGTTGTTCAAAAATGTCCGGTTTGGGTTCTTTGTGTCTGATAACTTGCGTTGGTACTTTTAATTTGGCATATTGACCCTTGTTTTCTCTCAAAGTTCGATTTCATATGGATGAGGATCCAAAAACTCTGAAGGTGTTTCCAATTCCACTTGATTTGGGTGGTGCTGCTGTTCACTATGATCGCCTTAGTTTATCTCCGGATGGAAAAATTTTGGCAGCAACCCATGGTTCGACACTACAATGGTTATGCATTGAAACTGGAAAGGTTTTGGACACAGCTGATAAAGCCCATGAAGGTACGCTTGAGTTTATCTGAAGTTCTTTTTTATTCTTCATTTTATCATTTATGTGTACCTCGTTGGTTCTCCAATATCATGTTATCTAGTTTCAAAAATAAATTTAGCATCTATTTCTACAGCCAAATCTATGATGCTTTTATGGCCATGCCAACATTCTTGTTCAGTTGATAAAAAAGAAAGAATTTTATCGTCTAGGTTAAATGTTTGATTGATCACCACGTATAAGAAATTGTTCTGCTCTTAACAAGTAGCATGTGCTCGGTAAGCCAAATGTTTAATAAATAATGAAGATTCAAGTCGATCGTACATGTTACTTAGGATCAGATGAGCAGGGAAATGATTTCTTTCATCTTAACTGCTATACAAAGTTTGGTGGAGCTTGGGATTGTTATCCCAGAGATGTTTCAAGTTGTGAATCTTCTTTAATCTGTCTTCGCCATGCAGGTGACATCACAGGCATTTCGTGGGCACCCAAGCCAATACCAATGGGTAAATCACTAGTCTTGAATATTTAAAGTTGTCTTGCAGTTAGTTTTTGTCTTTACCGCTCCACTGCCGACAACGTTGGCAGAATAAGAGCATAGTAGTGTACCTGGGTAGAGAAGTCTGTCTAACCTGATCAACTTTTCCATAACCAAACCCCTGGTCCTTCCAGCTTCGTGCGAATATGCTTCGGCATAATCTGTTTCTTTACAGCATCAGGGTCAATTTAAAGTCTAATTGGCCATTGTCTGAAGAGAATTTCGTTCGTACAAATTTGGATCTATATGCCACCCAAGTTGCTCAGTAGAATTGTTGACCAAATACGTGACATATTGAGAAGTGAATAGGCGGGGAGATTGGATTACAAGACGACCGAATTTACTACAATTTGGCTGGAATTAGCCCTTGGGTAAACGTAAATCAGGATCTATTTTCCTCCAAATGCTATGTGCCATTTGTTTAGACTTGATTAAGTGTTTTATTGCTTTGAGTTGTCGCGTCTAATATGTTAATGTTGTATCATCCTTCTTTTTGCAGGTGATGAGAAGGTGTTGGTTTTGGCCACATCAAGTGTCGATAAGAAGGTAAAATTCTGGGTTGCTCCATCTGTTCCTGCATCGTAAAGGAATTTTGTACATGCGTAATGATCTCATGCATTGGCATGAATGAATTCCTCATCTGACGTGGTTTGCGCGAGAAATGTTTCATATGTTCTAGGCCAAGTAGTTTTAACAACTTCATGTTATGAAAGCTACCTCACTGCAGTTGAAAGGTAGAGCGGTACTTGTTGGAGCATTTGCATTGAGAAAGCAAATGTTTTGTTTCACCGGCTTAGTCAGATTTCACGGTGGTTTTGATGATTATAATTTGATTTACACGGAACTGGACTAGCCTATCGCTCTTCGTGTTCAGAAAGTGCTTTCAAACTGAGTTCAACTTTCTTTACGTTCCCCCGCCCCTGTAAACGTAAGTTGAAATTTAGAAGTTTCATGATAAAAATTTAAAAGCATTTGTTGCAAGACTGATAAGCTATAAACGTTCCATAGAAAAATGGCACCAATAACAAACAAAAGCAAAAGCCAAAAAAAAAAAAAAAAGGCTCACTCGTAGCGACAATTCACAAGTTTTATGAAGGAGTCAACTTCGACATTCAACATCATATATTATAAATCTTAAATTTATATTTAACTGTCGATTGTCGTTTATGTTATGTTTTTTAACCGCATTTGTTTTTCAAATTTCTTTTTAGAAAACATGATCGTTTAGCTGACGCATAAAAATAAACAATTCAGATTGTTCATATATTGTTTCGATGTTTACGGTTAATTGAAATATGAGTCTATATTATATAGTTTCTAAAGATTTTATAAACTTCGAGCAATATTTTTAATAAGGTAAAAATTTTGAATATGATATTAACGATCTTAACCGTTCATTGTTTTGAATGTCCTAAAATATCATGTTTTTAAAAAATAAAATTTGAAAAAACAAAATTTGGTGAGAAGAATGGAACGTAAACTTAAAAGACAATTAATGCTAAATTTTAATCTATATTTATGAGATTATGGTGACGAATTTTGGAGTTGACATCTTCACAAAAGTTGTAGAGCTTGTTATTACGAGAGTTTATATTTATTTATTTTTACATTTTTCACACTTCTAAATTAATTAAAAACTATTAAAAAAATCTATTACAACAATAGCTATAGGATTTAATCTCACTTGGATTCTTTGATCTCCACAACCTTGAAAAAGAAACTCCCTTCATGTTGCATTTGATGTTTTGCAGTAATGTACTAATGTTTTTTATGAGGCTTTTATTTTGGGTATAGAATACTTTAAAGACAAATGTGTATTTATGTTTTGAAGTACTATTTATGTGATAATGTGATACGTATATGCTAGTTTAGTATTACGTTTTTTAATTTAATTATTTATCGAAGTAAAATATATTTTCTTTAATGGGTAACGGGTCGGGTCATGTTACCCGTTTATTTTAACGAGTGTTACATGACCTGACCCATTAAGATATTGGGTATATCACGAACACGAAAAACACAACACAAACACCAAGTTTACCACATAGGCTGAAAGGATATTTATATATATATTTTTCATTATATGAAATAAATTAGCATAAACACCATTGTTTCTTTGGTGATTTGCAATGTATGATCTTTGTTTCTAGAAAGGGAGACTTACATAGAGAAAATGAAACACAACTTACATACCTAGAACTCTATTACTTTTCAATCCTTTTATGGAGAGACAAAACCAAAATACAGAAAAACCCAATCCAAAAGCAAGGAAACCAATTTACAAAAATTCCATTCCTTACCTCTAACTAATCAATGAGTTAACAGACCTAGTCTACACAACTCTAACTCATCTTCAACCATTTTTTTGTAGAAGTAGTTTCAACTATATGTGTAATAAGAAGTAGGAGAGAGAGAATGAAGTACTAAGAAGGATATAAGAGAGAGAGGGGGAGAGAGAGAGATATATATATATACATACATACATATATATATATATATATATATATGAGGAGAAAGAAAGAGGGAGACCCATCTTTCAAACATAGAAGAGCAAAATGCAAAAGTAATTCTTGAAAAAATAATCATAACATCACCTACTACTTGAATAAGTAAATTTTGTCCATTTTCTAAAATAAATCAAAACTTATCTTCGTACAAAATAAAATCTTGTAATTTGGCTGTTTGTATAATTGTTCTTTCTTGGAAGCAGAACAAAACAAGGTGGAAAGAAGAAAAGAAAACGAAAAGGTTTTATTAGATCATCTCCAATTCTTGGGTTAAAACTTAAACTTTTTAACTCAGAAACAGTTTTTCTGCTTCAACATTTTTGGATTAAATTTTTAGCCCGAGATTATGAAAGAATGAATTTAGGATTTTTTTTTTCTTCTGAAAGTAACATTAATATATATATATATACACACACACACACTATCTTAATTTAATTTTATGAAAATTTTAACCTAAAAGTATTTAGATTCCGATAAATACTGAAAAATCACTAAATTGACACTAAGAAACTCTTAGAACATTATGAAAATAATTTTTTTTGATTATTTAACCGTTGGATTTATATTTGGACCATTAGATCTTTTTTATTACCGTTGGATTAAATGAATTTATAAATGTAAAACTATAAAAAAAAAAAAAAAAGTACATATCATGGGAAACTCTGGCCTAGACTTGTCTTAGAAACAAGTTTTGGGTTTAAAACTCATATTTGACCCAAGAATTGGAGCAAGTTGGGGTAGATTTAGAACTTAAATTTGAGTTTTATTCCAAGAATTGGAATAGATCTTAGTGAGAAAAATAATTAAATAGATAAAATTGTATAAAGGACAGAAATAAATAAAAATGAAGGGTCCAGAAGGTCAACGAAGAACATGGAAGGTTGTAGAAGTTGAAACCGAGTGAGGTTAGGATTCTTCTTCTTTCGGGAAACACAAATTCTACTCCAAATGGTAAACTGCGTGCAGCAATCTACCACCGCCACCCTTCCCTATATAAACACAAACCTATGTTTCGGATCACAACAGAAAGAAAAGAAAAGGAAAAAAAAAAACACGAAGAGAACGACACGAAGAATTTGTTTTGAGCCTTTAATATTTATACTGCTAATATCAACGCTCAACACAAAACGACGTATCAGGAATGGAGCCTCCGATGTGTGCAAGCGGATGTGGGTTCTACGGCACTGTGGAAAACAAGAACATGTGCTCGAAATGCTATAAAGATCATCTAAAACACGAAACTATGAATGCAGCCTCAGCCGACGTGACTCCGAAGGAAAAACTCAATCTGGGTTCCTTCATTAGTGGAATTTCTTCCTCGCCTTATTTTCGAACTTCATCAGATACTTCACTAATCTCCGAAGATCAAAACTTTGGGAATAATAATATGGGAACATCAAGTGTCGGTGTGACAAAAAAAAATAGGTGCCAAAGCTGCAGCAGAAAGGTTGGAGTGTTGGGATTTCAGTGCCGCTGTGGTGGTGTGTTTTGTGGAATGCATAGGTACCCAGAAGAACATTCATGTGATGTGGATCTCAAGCAGGCTGGGAGAGATATTTTAGCCAAGAAAAACCCGCTCTGCAAGGGTGACAAGTTAGAATGGAGGATTTAAAGATAATGAAGTTGTCGTAGAAATTGGCTTGGTTAGGTCCAGGATACTCTTAGGTTTCCATACTAGTTTTTGCTTAACCTTTATTTTAATTATGTCAATGTGTATTCTTTAATTTTATTTTTGCTCGAGCTGGGGACGGGGATTTATTAATATTTTGTTTCTTTTTTGTTTTTAATCAATTTTTTTTTTTGTTGAAATTTTGTTGTAGAAATAAACAAATACTAATATGGGTGACGTTATCCGCATATTCCTTTTTATCTTTTATTCTCTCTAGTAATTTATGTTTCTTTGATAATTTTCAATTCATTCAGATCAATAGCAGGAAATTGAGAGAGGTATTACAACATAATTAACATGTTTGATAAAGACCAAGGCTCATGCCCCAGGTGGGAGAGTTTGGTCAATGAATCTATGATGCATAATTGAGTATCTCTAAAAAGAGTGAGCGTTTAAGGCTTGTATGCATAGCAAAATCTTACCAATGTATAGTTGAGGTGAGGTATTTATAAGAGGTGGCCGGCTTAGGTGTAGGGATTTGCCCTACACGTGGTGACTTCCTATTTGGCAAGGTTATGTCACTCGCAGGATGAATGTGGAAATAATATTTTCAAAATATTAATTAGGAGATAATACCTTGGGATTATGGTGAAAATATCCTTGATTGGTTAGTGATAAGGATCCATTACTTGATTAAGTTGGTCTTCAATTGGGAATGTATTAAATATTAGATTTAGTAATTAATCTTATTTTTTAATTGCTTTGACTTTTTCATGCCAAGAGTAAGGGAGCTTTGAGTAGTAGCACTGCTTAAACTTCTGTGATGTTGAGCTGCATATGAGAATATTTGTGTGTCATGCCCATTTAATAAGGGCAATCTTATCTTCTTTGGGATAAAATTCACGTGTCGCATTTAGGATTTCGGGATTATTTTTTGCTTCACACTACCAATATAGCCTATCTACTCTCTACGAGCCGTTGGTGAGAAAAACCAATTAACAATCCTTCATTGTTGACCTCCGCCTTTAATCTTGGAGTCTGCGACAATTCATCTTCAATAGTCGTCTCTCTTTTTGTTCATGTTTACAATATCATTTAACTATCTTCCTCTCTTGGTTTTAGTCGTCACTTTTTTCATAGGTGACGAGAGTATTCGTGGTTGTGGTCATTCTCTTCCTCTGTCGAGCAGAGACTTTGTAACGACTATGATTTATTGCTCAAACTTAGATCTTTGAGCAACAACTATTGTTAAAAGTTGAGGTGATGGGTTTTAGTTTCATTTTGGTTATGTGCACATCAAATGTGTACAAGGAGGAAATTTCACATTTGTTGGAGGGGATTCATAGAAGTGTTTATTTGTCTACAATTGCAAGATCATCACAAGGGGTGCGATCTTTTCCTTGCAGTTCCTTTACGATGACTCTACAACTTGCAATGTTAGTCCTCGTGAGTAGACTTGAAAAACGTGTCGTGGTGTTCCATTCGTGTTGTTCTTGTGTCATACTTGCTATTTTATCAGATTGTGTCATGTCAAACCCATTATCTTAACGGCTTCTTAACAAGTGATCGGGATAATGCCTGACTCATTAACGGGTTGGCCCAAAACTTTTTTTTTTTTTCCTTTTTTGTGTTGTTTCTTGTCGAGTTAACTCGTCATGCAAAAAATTGTCATGTCTTATGTCTAAACCTATCAAACGAGTCATGTTTGTGTCATGTTTGTGTCGTTTT